CAAGTGGTAGAGTGCTGGCTTGGAGCTGAAGAGCGCAGGGACAGCACCCAAGCCCAGAGTTCAAGACCCACAACCAACAAAAAAAAAAAAAAAAAAGAAGCCAAGCTCCAGTGGCTTATCCTAGCTATTCAGAATGAGACCTGAGGACTGCAATTCAAAACCAGCCCAGGCAGACAAATTCTCAAGACAACCTCTAAGAAGCCAGAATGGAGCATGCCTCAAGTAGCTGAGTGACAGCAATGAACAAAAAAGCAAGTCCAAGTACTGAGTGACAACAATGAACAAAAAAGCAAGTGAGAGCACAAGACTCTGAATTCAAGCCCACATACTTGAACAAAAAGAAAAATAATCAGAAAATGGATGGAAAAAATACACCTGCTAAGTTATCTTAATATAAATGCCATTTCTGCTTTAATCTGAAATAGAATCAGAAATCCCATGTAGAAAACAGCATATCCCTGCCTCATTTTTAAAACAATTTTGTATTTTCGGACTCAGCTTACCAAATCTAAGATTGCCATCAATTGTGCTTTTTGCAATTCTTAGTTGATCCAATTTTTACCTATATATATGAACGTTCATGAATTATTTTCTATTATTAAGAATGAAATTCTTGGGCGGGATTGGGAGGGGGAAGAGGGAAAGAAACGTACTCATTACCTTACATATGCAACTATAACCCCTCTGTACAACACCTTGACAATAAAACTAAATTTAAAAAAAAAAAAAGAAGAATGGAGTTCCTTAGCCAAATGTCAGTGGTCCATGCTTGTAATCCTAAGTACTCAGGAGGCTGATATCTGAAGATTGCAGTTCAAAGCCAGCCAAGGCAGGAGAGTCTGAGGCTCTTACTTCTAATAACCATCAAAAAGTCATAAATGGAGCTGTGGATCAAGTGTCAAAGCACTAGCCTTGAACATAAAAGCTCAGAGACAGTGTCCAGCCCCTGAGTTCAAGCACTAGAACTGGAACCAAAATCAATCAATCAATCAAGTCCTTCCCTCAGTAATTTTTCACTGGATTTCAAGTTAGTCTTTTGAATTTTGGTGTATTCAATTTCTTAGTAATAAGTAGTGTAAATTAATATCTTTCCCCAACAGCCAAAAGACTGGTCCTGAGGCAATTATATATTCATGGTAAATATAGATCTTGTACCTATCTAATGTCTAAGTATGTTCTGATAAAACTAATAAAGAAATACAAATAAAATAATAATAAAAGAGAAACCAATTCTTGTAATCCTGACTACTTGAAGGCTGAATGGGAGGACTGAGGTTTGAGGACAGCCCAGGCAGAAGAGGTCACAAGACCTCTTCTCTACACACAGCAGGGCTCAGTGGTATGTGTCTGTTATCCTAAACCACATGTGGTTGGGATCAGAAGGATCAGAGAGTTCTAGGCCATCCTGAAGATAAAAATCTGAAGACTACATCTTCAGGAGGAAAGCAGAGCACAGTGATGCATGATCCTAGCAATGATAGGAAGTGGCGCTATGGCTCAAGTGGTAGAGCGCTAGCCTTGCGCTGAAGAGCTGAGGGACAGCGCCCAGGCCCAGAGTTCAGGCCCCACGACCGGACCCCCCCCCAAAAAAAAACTACCTTCAAAAAGTATCTTCAAATACACCTTAAATTATCATATACCATTTGTGAAGTATCCAAAGAAATTATTGTTCTTGTCTCATCCGCAGGACACATTAGGCCATATGAAACACTTGTTCCTCCTGCCAAAATAAAAGACAACTATTTTACTTAAATATTTTACTTAAACTATGTTTTAAGGGCAAATCTCTAATTTAGACTACACAGTGAGGCTGCCTAAGAAATGAGATCTATTTCTACTTTACAAAATATGATTTACAAATGCTAACACACTAAAAGTAAACTTATCTTTCTTTCATGCTGAATGCCATAATGATGCAATATTATATGGCTCCATCCCCTGGTCATGACATACTCAAAGTGAAGCTCCTAGCAATTTGTAGAACTCCAAAACTGTAATTAGAAAAGTTCTAAGCTGGGGCTGGGAAGGTGGCTCAGTGGTAGAGTGTTTGCCTTGCATGCATGAGGTCCTGGATTCAATTCCTCAGCATCACATAAGCAGAAAAAGCCAGAAGTGGTGCTGTGGCTCAAGTGGTAGAGCACTAGCCTTGAGCTGAAGAGCTGAGGGACAGTGCCCAGGCTCAGAGTTGAGGCCCTACGACCGACAAAAAAAAAAAGTAAAGAAAAAAGAAAAAAAAAGAAAATGTCTAGATTAGGTGATATTTAAGAACAAAGTTATATAATCTCTGGCGAAAAAGTGATTTTAAAATACAATGTGTGATACATAGAAGTATTTATCTTTTCGTGTTGTTGTTGGCTGTGGGGCTTGAACTCCGGGCCTGGGCGCTGTCCCTCAGCTCTTCAGCTCAAGGCTCATGCTCTACCACTTGAGCCACAGTGCCACTTCTAGTTTTTTTCTGTTTATGTGGTGCTGAGGAATTGAACCCAGGGCCTCATGCACGCAAGGCAAGCACTATACCACCAAGCCACTCTCAGCCCCTAGAAGTATTTAAATCACATACTGTTTTACTGCTTTCTCTCTCTCTCTCTAAATGGTTGGTCGTGGAACTTGAACTCTGAGCCTGGGCACTGTCCCTTCAGCTCCTTAGCTCAAGGTGAGTACCCTACCATTTGAGCCACAGTGCTACTTCCAGTTTTCTGGTGGTTTTCTGCCCAGGCTGGCTTTAAACCACAATCCTCAGACCTCAGCCACCTGAGTAGCTAAGATCACATGTATAAGCCACTGGTTGCCTGGCTTGCTGCTTACTCTTTGTTGTCAAAAGCAAAATGTTTTCTTAATATAAGTGAGAATATTTTACAGTCTTAGCTAGACCTATATCATCCTATAGCAAATATAATAATACTAATTGGAATTTCATGCATTTTACACAGGAGAAAGCATGTGGATGTCACCTATCATAAATAGTATAGAAGTGATCTGTATGGATCGTATTAATTTCAGAAGGTAAGATAACGAACATCAGCTACAAACAAAATGCCTGTGATAAGTAACCATTACTTGCTTGTCTTACCATCTAAAATACAATATTTTATAGTAAGTAGCATCATTGTGCCTTTTTGAATGAATTCAATATATAGTACTAGCTGTGGGAGTAGAGTTTCTGGAATAATGAACATCCATTTCCTTTCATTCTATCAATGCCAATTTGTTGAGTGAAAGTGATTTCCTTTGGTTTGTGTAAGTAGTTAAAAATATCATAAATAAAAGATCAAAAGAGATCAAATTCACTTAAAAACACAAAACAACAGCTGAGTGCAATGCTAATTCAAGTAGCTATTTCAGAGACAAAGACAGGAAGAATGCAGGTTTAGGAAAAAATGTTCCAAGACCCTTTCTCAACAACAAAGCCCAGAATGGTGACCATATTCATAATCTCAGCTACACAGGAGTATAAATAAGTAGGAGGATTGTGGCCCAAGGCCAAAGCAAAAACTCAAAACTCTATCTGAAAAATAAACAAAACAAAAAAAGTTGGAGACATGGCTCAAGTACTAAAGAGCTTACCTTACAATTATTAGGCCCTAAGTTCAAACCTTAGGACCATCAAAAACAAACAATAACAACGAAACAATGCAAAACAATGTTTTCTATATTGGAAGATACTGATTTAGTCATCACTATACTGATGATATCTTAAGTTGCACTGTGTATCATGAAGACTCTGTTCTCAAATATTTACATTTGGTATATTTATTTTTATCTTTGAAAATTTAAATGCTTCTAGATGCTGGCAGCTTCTGCCTATAATCCTAGCTACTGAGGAAGCTGAGATCTGAGGATCACAATTTGAAGCCATCCAGCAGAAAAGTCTGTGATACCCTTATCTCTCTATTAGTACCAAAAAAGCCAGAAGTGGAGCTGTGGCTCAAGTGGTAGAGTGCTAGCCTTTAGCAAAAAAGCTTAGGACAGTATCTAGGCCCAGAGTTCAAGCCATAGGATCTACACCAAAATAAACAAACAAACACACACCAAGAAAATGCTAGGTCAGAAAATAACTAGTAACGCAGGAACATTTTCTTATTTAGTCATCAAATCACAGCTTCAAATATGATCTTGTAATAAGCCATGAATTAAGAGTAAACTAAGTCTCAGTTTAGGAAGATTTACTGTTACAGAAATGAAAATGATAAGCCAATTTTTGAAAATAAACGTAACTATAAGAATGTTTGTTTCCAAGAGATACAAGAATGTTTAAAATACAAGTATTTTAAATACAGTAATTTACATCATATTAAAATTTGAAAGCACAATACTTACCACCAATTGGTATGATACAAAGGTTATATTTGCATGCTAGATTCACAATCTTAACTACATCATCATGACACACTGTTGAAAAAGAAAAGAAAAATAAATTGATAGGCATATTAACTCTGCTTACCTTAGGAAATGAGGATTTACAGTTCTTTAACATCTGAACTTTTCCTTTGTTTATTCACTCATTAACATATTAACTAGCTATATTAAAAGTTGGATTCCAGCCGGGCGCCTGTGGCTCACGCCTGTAAATCCTAGCTACTCAGGAGGCTGAGATCTGAGAATCACGGTTCAAAGCCAGCCTGAGCAGGAAACTCCATGAGACTCTTATCTCCAATAAACCACTAGAAAACTGGAAGTGGTGCTCAAACAGTAGAGTGCTCGCCTTGAGCTGAAGAGTGCAGGGACAGCGCCCAAGCCCAGAGTTGAAGCCCCACAACCGACCAACAAAAAAAAAAAAAGTTAGATTCCTTCCAACTTTTTATTTTTAAATAATTTCAAACATACATTATCACTGTAATTACATAATTCCAGTCTAAAGCAAAACCAAGCAATTAACATTGACATAAAACAAACAGCAAACCTACAGACCTCACTCTAATGTCTCCTTTTCTATCCCACAGTCTAATCCAAGATCACACACTGCATTGAGTTGTCATGATTTCTTAGTCTTCTTTAAGGTAGACCTTTCCTAAGTCTTTGACTTTGATGGCAATGGTATTTTTGAACCCTGGTCAGTTACTTCATAGAATATCCCTCAGTTTGACTTTGTATATGTTACCTCACAAATCTTTGCAAAGATGCTGCAGGAATAAATGCTATGCTTTTCTCAGCATGATGTCCTCTTTGATAGTTTGATTTGGTAGTATTTGCTAGGTTTCTCCATCAAAATGATACTATATTTTCTCTTGAAATTAATATCCTTAGATTATGTAAACAGAACGTTTCCTTTCATACTTCACCCCTTAAGGTTGCTCTTTTTCTCTCCCCATACTGGAGCTAAAACCGAGGGACTTGCACATGCTAGACAAGTGCTCTACCACTTGAGCTATCCCTTTTCTAGACCCCATCAATGATTCTATATTGTGTCTGAAATTTTTTGGTGCTGGTCTTTGGGCTTGAACTTAGGGCCTTGGTGTTATTCCTGAGTGCCTGCCACTCTTAGCTGTTTTGGTGCTTAATTGGAGATAGGAGTCCCTTTGATCCTCAGATCTCAGCCTCTTGAGTAGCTAGGATTATAGGTGTGAATCACAAGTGTCCAGTCGTTGTTCTG